GCCCATGATGACCTCTCCTGATGGTGACTTCTCCTCCTGACCCTACAGTGTCTGAGGTCAAACAGGTCACTGTTGACTGTCACGTTGAACAGCCAACGCAGTATTGATGATTTTGGACTTATTGACCCGTGACATGATTGATGGGTACCGCGCGTGTGTGTGTGTGTGTGTGTGTGTGTGTGTGTGTGTGTGTGTGTGTGTGTGTGTGTGTGTGTGTGTGTGTGTGTGTGTGAGGGTTCATCTTGATGTACTTGTAAGGTCGAATCCTGGTTGCCTCGTCTGGCATTTCTAGTCTCTGGTTAGTTAATGCAAGGTCTGTCATTAATGATTGAGATAGAGGAGGTACTCGGCTACGCCCGGGTCTCTCTCTCTCTCTCTCTCTCGGTACTCGGCTACGCCCGGGTCTCTCTCTCTCTCTCTCTCTCTCTCTCTCTCTCTCTCTCTCTCTCTCTCTCTCTCTCTCTCTCTCTCTCTCTCTCTCTCTCTCAGCTGTTTCCCTCCTTCCCTCCTCTCCAACTTTCTTTTCGTAGATCGCCATCTTTCTTCTCCTCCCTCTCCATCCTCTCACCCACTCTCCCTCCTCTCCCTCTCTCTCCATCTTTTCTCTCCCCGTCTCTCACCTCTTCTTCCTTCTTTTCAAATTATTTACGGTTATTGATTATTTATGCAAATGAATATATGCTGGGTAGCATTGTAAATATTTGGCCACGTCTGTGGCACAAAAAATATGTATATATATAAACTATTGAATAAGTCTACGGACAACACAACCAACATTTCAGAATTGACTTCACGGAAATCGCACGTTGGGTTAGCTGTCGATATTTCTTAAAGTGTGGCATTAGGGCCGACCTCGATTGTCTTGTGTCCCCTTCACTATCCCACATACGTCCTGTTGATGATTTCTTAACTATGGACCAGAGCTTCATATTCGAGGATCAGTCTTATGTAGGTTGCGTATAATTCTGAAAGCCTACCTATCCACTAGCTCTCAGCCTCGCTAACGACCTCTGTTCGAATCCCAACTTCGCAAAGGCAATCAGGAAATACAGGAAAATTCCAATTTTTGATGAGAGCGTCATTGGGGAGGGGGTCGGCCGCTGGGTGGAATGAACGCACCTTGTGAATGGATTGTATCTATAGTGATTTTTCTCACCTTTACAGACCACGCAGCTGCTAGGATCAAGGTGCATTTGGTCAATATTTTGCGGCGACGGAGGTTAATGAGAGAACGGACTCTGAGGTTAGGTTAGGTTAGGTTAGGTTAGGTTAGTAGAAAGATCAAAGATTAAGGTTAATGAAAGACTAAGTTTGTTAAAAGACCATTTTTTTTATTTAGTAAGTTACGTTATGAAGAGTGGCATGTTAATGGGAACACAGTGTAGTGCTAGTGACTTAACTAGCTATGTTATGTTGGCACTAGTGACATAACTAGCTATGTTATGTTGGCACTAGTGACATAACTAGCTACGTTATGTTGGCACTAGTGACATAACTAGCAGTGTTATGTTGGCACTAGTGACATAACTAGCTATGTTATGTTGGCACTAGTGACATAACTAGCAGTGTTATGTTGGCACTAGTGACATAACTAGCTATGTTATGTTGGCACTAGTGACATAACTAGCAGTGTTATGTTGGCACTAGTGACATAACTAGCAGTGTTATGTTGGCACTAGTGACATAACTAGCTATGTTATGTTGGCACTAGTGACATAACTAGCTATGTTATGTTGGCACTAGTGACATAACTAGCTATGTTGGCACTAGTGACATAACTAGCTATGTTGGCACTAGTGACATAACTAGTTATGTTGGCACTAGCGACATAACTAGCTAAGTTATGTTGGCACTAGCGACATAACTAGCTAAGTTATGTTGGCACTAGTGACATAACTAGCAAAGCTATGCCCGCACTAGTAACTAGTTACGTCCTTACTAGACAAACAAGCCAACAACTTGTCAAAAAAATGTACTAACAAGCAAATCAAAACTACATTTGTCTGAGAAATAAATTCATTAGTACAGAAATGGTTATAGAAACCCTTAGTTATTACATGTGCTAGTTAGGTGGTACTAGAAAACAGCGCTAGTTACCGGTAGTGTGAAGGTTTCAAGCAGCGAACAAGTTTTACTAGTCTCCTCTTGTTCTAATGTTAGAAGACATTTGGCACGGTATGCATTAGTGTTATATAACAAGGGTATACAGACATATACATGGGGGGGGGGATATATGATATTTATACATATACATATTTGCACAAATTTGCACCTTTTTTTTCTAAACTAGAGCCTGGGATGGTGTTTTGCAAGTATTGGGCCTCCCAGCCCTATATATATATATATATATATATATATATATATATATATATATATATATATATATATATATATATATATATATATATGTATGTATGTATGGCATTTTGAAGCGAAAGTCAATATATACAAGCTGTTAAGAGTTATGTATATTCAATGATATGTTAGTTATGCGTGATGTAATTCAGCTCAACTAATTAGCACTAACTGCAGTAGCTCTACTTCAACAAGGTTCTTGTGATGGTAGTGTGTAGTGTGTGTGTGTGTGTGTGTGTGTGTGTGTGTGTGTGTGTGTGTGTATGTAGTGTGTGTATGTAGCGTGTGTGTGTGTAAGTAGAGCCTTTAACCCTTCACATAATACTGTAAACGTGTAGGTGACTCCACCTATGATTGTTGATTTGGCAATTAAAATCCCAATCACCCAATCACCTGTGTTCCTGAAACACTCCTATTTAAATTCAATCCTTAGGATTGAAATCCTATTTACACCCTGGACAACTACTCAAGATGATCACAGGAATGGATGTTCGTGTACATGAAGAAGAACAACGGTGAACCTAAGGTCACGGAGCCCTTTTATGTACCTGAGAACATGACCTTGAACGGGGAGAGAACACCTAGGATGTTCTTCAGCTCACAAGGAACCACATAAGCCACAGTAGGTGCGGAGAAATAATGTACAATCGACAGGAGTGTCGACCATCTTGGTGAGTGGTATAGCAGGAGAAGCCATTTCATCACTGACTGACACATTGGATCATAACGTCCCCTCCATCTCTTTCATACACCCCCCCCACGCATTTCCCACGCCCCCCACGCATTCCCCACGCCCCCCACGCATTTCCCACGCCCCCCACGCATTTCCCACGCCCCCCCCCCCTCTCGCTTCCCCCCCTCTTGCCCCGAAGTTTGACGGCTGATAGATTGATGGATTAGACACCCAACAGCACAGGATTATTCTCTGATGCGACGATTAATCCTGTATGTGTTCAGTTTGTTTTGTGTTTTATAGCCGCGTGCATACTCGTTCATCCCCCCCCCCCTACATGCACACACACACACGCACGTGCACAAGCACACACACACTCGCGTGCGCTTCTCATATACACAGAGACACGTAACGGTGTCCAAATTGCGAGGAGTTAGCGTTTGACCTCTGGAAACAATTTTAGGGTGGGTATGTTCAGGTGAATACTTACACATTGGGGTTTATTTCTCTTTCTCTCTCTCTCTCTCTCTCTCTCTCTCTCTCTCTCTCTCTCTCTCTCTCTCTCTCTCTCTCTCTCTCTCTCTCTCTCTCTCTCTCTCTCTCTCTCTCTCTCTCTCTCTCTCTCTCTCTCTCTCTCTCTCTCTGCCTCTCTTTCCTCCCACTCTTTGGCTCTAACTCTTTATCTCTACCAGTTAAACGTCTGAAGGATCAACATGCCCATATCACCACCACCACTACTACCACTGCTACCACCACTACCACCACAACCACAACCACTACCCACCAGCCTGCTCTACAGTATATAACGCTAACCTCGCTATAAACGCAGTTCCCTCCGGTAAAGGTGAAAATATGACCGGGTTATGAAGCCAATGCAGAGAGACACGCCGGACATAATCTGAAATTAGATGAAAAGTGACAATAGGCTGAGAATGGATTCAAACAAAGTAATAATAATACTTATTCCTCTCCCAACTGCCCGTAAATACAGTAAGGGGGAGGGGGTGGGGGGTGGGTGGTAGGGGGGAAGGTGGGGGATATTTGAGTGAATTAATACGAGTTTAACCTGCAGATGAAATTAATTACAAGACGTTTTTTCCTTCTGTATCGACATTTTTTTTGGTTGATGTTATGTAAACAGGGTTGGTTCTGAAGCCTCGGCAGACAGACAGGCTAATGTACACTACCATAGCAGACAGTCCTGCTAGTGAATGGAAGAGATAGCTAATCACTGCCTGACAGTCGTACCATTTTATGTTGATATAAACTATTATAATAATTTCTTCAACATTTTAAGGTCATCGGCCTCTTCACACAAGACGGAATTATCATTCTAGACCCCCCCAAAAAAAATCTTCAAAGGCCAAAATATATGCTAATTGGTTTGATTAAAACATTCTTATCCTCTGCTTACATTCAGTTAATTTTTAGAAAAATGTCCGGGGTTTCGAGAGAGAGAGAGAGAGAGAGAGAGAGAGAGAGAGAGAGAGAGAGAGAGAGAGAGAGAGAGAGAGAGAGAGAGAGAGAGAGAGAGAGAGAGAGAGAGAATATAACTCTCTCACCCATATACACAGGATTTCCTTGGAACATCGGCGGTGCCGGGAATCACTGAAGCATATATGATAACATATCTTTGTTGATGTTCCGGCCAGGTGGATATCGGAAACAGGTGGGGCGGGTGGTGGGGGTTAGGGGGGGGGTGGAGGTTGTGGATGTATAGGGGGGGGGTTGTAGGTTGTAGGGAGGGACGTGGCGTGAAGGAGGGGTGTATAGGGAGGAGGAAGATATGGGACGTTACCTAGGTAGGGAAGTTATCTTGAGGTTATCTTGAGATGATTTCAGGGCTTAGCGTCTACGCGGCCCGGTCCTCGACCAGGCCTTCTTTTCGTTATACCCCCCCCCCCGCCAGGAAGCAGCCCCGTAGAAGCTGTCTAAACTCCCAGGTTCCTATTTACTGCTAGGTGAACAGAGGCATCAGGGTGAAAGAAACTCTGCCCATTTGTTTCCGCCTCCACCGGAGATCGAACCCGGAACCTCAGGACTACGAATCCGAAGCGCTGTCCACTCAGCTTGTCAGGCCCCTACCTGAGCCTCTCTCCTTGGGAAGGAGGGAGGGAGGTGGGGGAAAAATAATGGCAGGGAGGAAGTTTGGGGGAAAGGAAGGGCGTAGGGAGGGGAAGAAGATGTGTGTTTTGTCTATGGGAGTATTGTTAATGATATAGAAGATCTTTTGGTACACGAGTATGATATTGACTCCCGTTTTCTGCATCTGTGTCTCTCTGTCTCTCTCTCTCTCTCTCTCTCTCTCTCTCTCTCTCTCTCTCTCTCTCTCTCTCTCTCTCTCTCTCTCTCTCTCTCTCTCTCTCTCTACTCGTGTGTAGATGCGCACGCACGTATACCTGTATGTATTATTAAATATTACGTATTTGTATCTAAAATACAGATTAAATTCTAGGCAATGAAATTAGTTTCATACATCTCTCTCTCGAAGAAGAAGAATTTGCCGGGAGAGTGTAATCCATTACTGTGATTGGTTTGTCTTGGTTGTGTGGTGGTTGGCTAGTTTCCTGTGTTGTATGCTATGATTGGCCGACAATCTGTGTCTCACCATCGTGATTGGGTAGCTGGCTAGTATGGCTTAGGTCTCATCCACACCAATAGTCCATTGCCTTGCGTGAGGGGAGCGGAAGCTCACACACACACACACACACACACACACACGTCTATAACACAAACTGTAAACCTATTCTGCTCATACAGTCCGCTTAGAGACGAACCACAGGGACGAATCTTCCGCACAAGAGGGACGACCTTCCGGAACCACAGGGACGTCCCTCCGGATCCACAGGGACGACCTTCCGGATCCACAGGGACGACCTTCCGGATCCGGATCCTCCCTCCGGATCCACAGGGACAAGCATTTAAGTACAATAATGTGTGTTATGGCGCTGGTCCTCATCTGGCGGAGGCGGTGGAGGCGGCGGCGACGAAGGAGGCAGCAGTAGAGGAGGTGAAGGTGGCGACGATAACGCAGGCGGCGGCAGCGGTGACGCAGAGGGCGAAGAACGGCAGGCTGGGCGCTGCGACCGGCGCCGCCGCGCTCGCTGTAGAAGGAAGAATTACATTAGTGTACACAGTGACGTAGAAGAGGAGGATTAGCAACTCTTACCCAAGCCCCTCCCTAATCTATTATACATCAGCCTCGATAGAGTCGGCGATAGCTTCCAAGCCCGTGCGTTTATGCAAGGCAACGAACGACTGGAAGACTACGCTTTGAGTACAATTTGACTTTTGAAGGGGGGACTTTTGAATTTATAGAGTTTGTGTGTGAGAAGCGCTCTGGTGGCCTCCAGTAGCTGTGAGGGAGGTAGTGATGGCGGGAAGGCTGAGCCAGGGCGGTGGTGAAGTTACACACTATCTACAGAGGATGGGATAGGGATATTAGTGGTGTAAACGCCCCATAGCCCAGTCACCATACCCGGGTGAGAATTACGTACATCCCAGACCCTCGTCTGGGTTTTGATTCACCAGCAAGACAACAAACAGAAGCGGTGCAATGAAGCAAGACAGCACGGCAGCAGTGAGGTAAAATAGCGGAGCAGCGGCGAAGCAAGACAGCAGAGCAGCAGGCTGTAGGAGGCAGGATCATCCCTTTGCAACATGTATGCTCCCTGCCTGCAACTGCACTGGTTGTATTCCGGATCAAATCGCCGCTCAAGAGCCTATCCTCACACCCATTCATGCATAACTAGGTGGCTCAGCTGCGGCTGCTACTGCTGCTGCTACTGTTATTGCTGCTGTTGCTGCTGCTGCTACTGCTATTGCTGCTGCTACTACTGCTACTGCTGCTGCTACTACTGCTGCTGCTACTGCTATTGCTGCTGCTACTACTGCTATTGCTGCTGCTACTACTGCTGCTGCTGCTGCTGCTCCACTCACTCACATGTGCTCCTCCCAAGGTCGAGCGACAGTTCCTAAGCCCTGTTCAGCAAACCATTACAATTTATTGTAAATTATCTCGTCTTTTTGTTGTTGTTAACGTATTGTCACAAGTATTTTGGAAACAGAGGAAGCTTCGATAATTTGTTCATCTACCACATTTGCATATCTTAAAGTTCGCGTAGGAAATGGCGGGTCAGCCAGGTTGTGATGGCTATGTTGGCCTGCGGGTCGCCGCTAGCAACAGCCTTACAGATCAGGCTATCTCCAGACACCATCCGGCCTGGCTTAGAAGATCTCTCGAAGATGTCTACAGGTAAACTACAGATAAACATTGAAATGTTTATTTCGGACATGTCTGTAACTCATTTGTTTTTTTTTTACAGTTTGAATTTATTTCTCAATGCCCGTTAGTATTTTGTATGTCGTTGTCATGTGTCTTCCCCCTGTTCATTCTCTTTCCTAGAGAGCGACGAGGTCCAGTTCACTCAAGTCTTTTCTACCTCACTTTCCTCAGCTGAGATCCAAACGTTTTTTTATATGTGTCTTAGACATTATTTAATTTGATTTTCCCCTCTCTTGAATTTTCACGACAGAATTTTTTCACGATAGGAAAAAATTCATGTATGATTTTTTTCATGACAGAACTACATATGTCTGATGCAGGAATCTGTTATCTCTTACGTCTACTGCCGCGAAGTGATCTCATCCCTGTTCGTAGCGTCATAACTTTACATTTTTCTGGAGTTAAAGCCCCCAAAAAGCCTCTTTTTTCAGACCACCTCAGTCGTATTAAGGGGAAGCTAACTGTTGTGGGTGTGAGAATATGGGAGTACGGCTGGAGGATTTTTTCACAGTGGAGAGTATCCATAGGCGTGTATGTCAGAGCAGGTCCGTTTGTTGTTGTTGTTGTTGTTAAAGATTCGCTACCTGGAACAAAAAGTTCCAAGTAGTACGGGCTATGGTGAGCCCGTAGGGGAGCTCGCAGGTCCACACTCCCTGGGGTACCTTCAGGAGACAAGAGCCCCCCCCCACCAGTGAGGTGTTCTTCCCGCACCTCTCCAGGTGGTCTGAGGTGTGGAGGAGCCTCCTGTAGGAGGAGCCAGGCTGAGGGCAGGGCGCTCTCAAAGAGCCTTCTCTCATTTAATGTATAATTGGCTGGCCGGCTCGAGCCCCGTCACAGGCAAATACCTTATAATGGACTTAATTACAGATTAATTTTAATTAAATATGAACATTCTGCCTAGCAGGAATTTTTCTTTAGGGGGGAAATTCGAACATGCAATATTTCCTCAACATTGAGGATTAAATTGCAAAGGCTTAGAAGTTTGCAATATTTATTTCTAGCAAGTAACTGGTGATTTCTTCCTGCCAGAGAGAAAAAAAAGAATACTGAGAGAGAAACGAGTTTCAATTAAACACATGGACCATTTTTCAACATCCCTGAGGGCGTCAAGTGTTGCCTGAACGGCAGCGGTGGGGGGTGGGGGTGAGTGGGGGGGGGGGGAAATGGGGGTGGAGGGTGGGGGGGTGGGGGCAGGGGGGGAGATAATACGTTATTTTGACGACGTTCACAGAATTCTATTCCCATCTACGAAAAAATAAATTGAGTAAGAATTAAAATGCAGATTACCTTTATTTCAACAGAGACGAGAATAGTCTGAGTTCCCCCACCCCCAGCGTCACATGGGGGGTAATTAAGCTCCCCACCCCAGCGTCACACAGACGTAATTAAGCTCCCCCAGCGTCACACAGACGTAATTAAGCTCCGCAATACAGCGTCACACAGACGTTATTAAGCCCCCCAACACCCATCAACCACCTATGGAACTCAACATTTTGACACTAGTTACATAAAATCTTTTGTCTTCCGGTTCTGAATTTCATTTACTTCGATTTACATATGATGCATACATTTACAGCTGCGTGTTTTATCATATATGTTCTGTATGAATGATAAATATCGTGTTTTTTAAATGATATTTGCATGTAAACTATTACTGCATTCAGATTTTCACACACACGTGAAGATGGGAATAGAATTCTCGGAACGTCGCCAAAAGTCTTTATCTATTCCGAAGTGTGTTATCCTCTTTCCTCTTTATATATATACATATATATATATATATATATATATATATATATATATATATATATATATATATATATATATATATATATACAAACATTCCCGTGGGGTTATGGAGTTGTGCCCTGGGTGTCTGGTTGGGTGCAACGTCTGTCTGCTGTGGCTGTGAAGTTCAATCCTTGAACGGCAGTCACGACCTTAGTGATTGCAGATAAACGCCAAAGCGGGGGCGTTCGTCAGTGGTTGAAACTTCCTTTGAAGTCTCCTTTCCTCCGCCCGCCTCTTCAGTTCGCCCTCGAATTGCGGGAGTCGCTTCCGCACTTCGCATCTCCAGGCAGAGCTGTCCGCAGCTGCTGCCTCCCAGGTGTTGATGTCGATGTTCTGCTGCTTGAGGTCTTCGAGCGCACTTGAGAGCTGCAGGCGGAATCCCGTCGTCTCTTGGGGACGGGATTCACTTACACTTACCCGAGGAAAGTGAATTTTAGTGCTTTCTCAACTTCTTCCACAGTCGGTTGAAGGTCAGGTTCTCCATGGTGGGCAGGCACTCGATTGCATCCAGGGGCCTCCACGCTGACCAAGTTCTCTCTGGAGTAGAGTTCGGAGTAATGTTCCACCCAGCGAATCATCTGCTGATCACGGTCTTTAATGATCTCTCCGGTGGCTGATATCAGAGGAGGTGTCCTGTTTTGTGTAGGCCCTGTTGCCTGTTTGTTCCCTTCATACATGCCTCTTTTGTTGCCGACGGTGGCAGCGCCTTGGAGCTTGTTGAACACCTACTGCGGGCAGTACGGAGGGCCTGTAGGTTCCTTTCTGAGGGCAGGGTCTTGTAGGATGAGAGAGCTCGTCTCTTTTCCCTCTACCAGGGGTAACAGTTCTTCTGCACTGACCTCGAACCAGTCTGCTGACTTGTTCTGCCTCATACTGAAGGTGGACATGGCAGTGTTGAAAATAGTGCCCCTGAGATGTGACCACCTCTCACTTGCGCCATCGCAGGGTGGTACAGGAAGGTCATTTACCAGCGCCGCAGTGAATTCCTCCACCCTGTAAAGGTCACGGGTCTTGTTTACGTTAATGCGTGGTCTTCCCTCCTCCTTTGTGGATTTTCCGGAGTAATTTTCCTGGGAACTTTACTTTGCAAACGACGAGAGAGTGGTCGGTGTCACAATCTGCGCTCTGACAACTGCGGGTCAGTTTGACGCTTTTCATACTGCTAAAAAAAAAAAAAAAACTTCGCAGCTAATCGACCTGGTAAGCACCGGGTCGAGTTGGTGCCAATGCTTAGACCTGGGGTGTCTCCAGGAAACTCCAGGAGGCGCTGCCCATTCTCATTCATCTTCCGAGTTAGTTGGTTCCGAGCTGTGATCGGAACCAACTCTTGCGTTGAAGTCTCCCAGGAGGAAGACTGGCTCTTGTTGAGGTATGTCTCTGAGAGTTAGGCCGAGGTCATCGTAGAACTCGTCTTTCGCTTCGTTAGAGGTCAGTGTTGGTGCGTAGGCGTTGATGAGGCTGGCCATTTCTGATATGGTCAGGAATATACGACCTCATTGCGAAAAACTAAAGACTCAAGAGCGGCCAGTTCCCTGTTCCAGCGCCTCAGTGTCGCAGTTCAGAGGGGAAATGCGTGCTGTATCCTGGGTACGCACCCAACCTCCGAGGAGCTGGACGAAGTCTTCGAACACTGATTGTTAGATATGTGTGTGTGTGTTCTCTGTAAACTGTAGCAATGCAATAAAATAAAGCAAAATTAATAAAAAAATACCGTTGGTAGGGGAAGAAAAGATTAAAGTGTTCAGTGAGAGTTATATGTGTGACCGCTAGACGTGGTCTACAGTAACCCTCTTTTCCTCTAGACGTGAAATACATGATCCCCTCACACCCCCTAAACGTTGACTTCAGAATCTTCCCTCTTCCCCTAAATGTGGACTTCGGGATCCTCTCTATCACCCCAGATAAGGCCCCACAGAACCCTTCCTGTCACCCCAGATAAGGCCCCACAGAACCCTTCCTGTCACCCCAGATAAGGCCCACAGAACCCTTCCTGTCATCCCCAGATAAGACCCACGAGGCTCACAGAACCCTTCCTCTCCCTCATAGAGGTGAAGGCCTCTGTATCCACCCCTGTGTTTACCCGTGGGTCAGTCCTGGCCTGGCCCCAGCGCCTCGTCCGTCCTCGGCCTCATCCCACCGAGTGCCCCCCATGTCCTCCTCTTGCCAGTTTTACCGCTTCGTTGTTTGCCGGCTCTCTCAGACCACCGGCATCCGGCTCTCCCAGAACATCGGCCACCGGCTCCCCCTTCCGGCCTGGCGGCTTGCCTCCCACAGGCAGAGGCAATCGAGGGACAAAAATGACCAAACGAATCTGAAGAACAATTTCAACCGTTCGTGGGGCTATGTTTTTATTAATTGATTTTGCAGTAATTTGTTTCGTAGATATTGTATTTGTAAATTTATCTTGTTTCAAACCTTGAGGAATGGCTTGTGTGCTGCCACTGATACCAGTATGGCGAAGTTCTTGGTACTTCCCCACAAAGGGAAGCCCCCCCCCCTGATATATATATATATATATATATATATATATATATATATATATTCCAGGACATATATTCCAGGATAGAGGAAGCCCCTGCGAGTATAGCAGGGGCTATACTCGCAGGGGCTTCCCTGCGAGTACAAATATATACAAATTGAACCCACTTCAACCCAAATTGAAGTGGCTTCAATTTACACTGTTTTGTAAACAAAACATTGCAAATTGAAATGGAATAACTCTCCAGGCGCCAACTTGTTATTAGGCCTGCGATCTAACAAACACTTTCAAGAATAAATCCCAGTAGCATGGAGGATTGCCAACGTAGTCCTCATTCTAAGACAAATATTTAGCTACTAATTACTACCCGATTATATTAATATGGAATGTGAGGAACCAGCTGACGACTATTATAAGGCCTACCTCAATTTCTAACCTTCATTGCCGGGTTTAAAAGTAAAATTTTAAAATCTCACAACACAGGTTACCAGAAAGCTTTCATGCTTTGCGAATTCATTATAGTGATCAAGTGTTTCTGGATCAGTAGAGAGTGGTAGTGATCACTATATTAAGTATCTTGATCATAGAAAAGACCTGAGCAATGTACATTAGAGATAGATAAGGAAAGCTGAAGTGTACTAATAGCAAGTGTTGAAGTTTACCGAGAGTAATCACACTAACGTGACTGCATCAGTGAGAAAATTCCGCAGGAGTCGTGATGAGGGATCGAACCTATGAGGGTGGTATTCCCACGCACCATAGTGTTGAAGTTCTTAAGTCGAAGTGAATCGACTTGAGAATGGTCCAGGACGGTCCGAAACGTCGTAGTCCCTTCACCTTCTAGTGTGTGGTCTGGTCAACATATTTTAGCCACGTTATTGTGACTCCTCATCTGCACGTTGAAGTTCTTAGTTGAATTAGGGCAGTGTTAGTGAAGTTTTAAACTGTATCAGGACACTGTTGACGGGTATATGGGACTGTCATGTGAGGGGTGGTCCGGGATGAGGTCCTTATACACCTGTTGCTTATAATATGCATTAAAATGATCTTGATAATGACGTTAAGAGTAAATTATACAAATTTGAGAAAGAAACTAAAATAGGGAACCCTCATACATTACAAGGAGCTCCTCTCTAGGGATCTTGTGGGGGGTAGAAAAGATTCAGATCTATGAAACATTCAGAAAAGTGTCAATTGGGGTTTTTCGTCTGATAACTAGAAACATTAGCAATACGAATGTCATTCTTCCACAGGGCAAAATCTATCTCACGAATTATAAATCGCCCTTAAGAAAATAAATTGAGAGTCTGCCCCCTCCTGCATTGCTTTACATCACTCACAAGCACACACACACACACACACACACACACACACACACACACACACACACACACACACACACACACACACACACACACACATACATACATACACACATATACCAACCTTCCGACCTCTGGCATCTTTCGAAACGTTTCAAAACATGCCTTAGGACGAAGGAACCATGAACCAGAGATAAGGCCCTCTTGTCAAACGTCCTGACATGCCTTTAAAAGGACATCTATACCCCCGCCCTGACGCAAGGAACGAGTTCCCGAAGGAACTCTTCCCCCCAATGCTGTGACGTACCCTGGAAGGACCTCTGCCCCCAATGCTGTGACGCACTCTGGAAGGACCTCTCCCCCCAATGCTGTGACGTACCCTGGAAGGACCTCTCCCCCCAATGCTGTGACGTACCCTGGAAGGACCTCTCCCCCCAATGCTGTGACGTACCCTGGAAGGACCTCTCCCCCAATGCTGTAACGTACCCCGGAGGGACCTCTTCCCCCAATGCTGTGACGTACCCTGGAAGGACCTCTTCCCCCTAATGCTGTGACATACCCTGGAAGGACCTCTTCCCCCTAATGCTGTGACGTACCCTGGAAGGACCTCTCCCACGCTCTGAAGGTGTCGGGGATGGTGTTGTGGTGGGCGAGGTTGTCGCCGCTGATCTCCGCCACACACTTGATCCTCAACACTCCTCGCTGGAAGTGGAAGGGCTTGGCCATGAAGGTCAGCCTGGAGATTTGCGTCATGAGACCGTCCTGCGTCGTGTAAGGCCGCTCTCTCGTCACCATCTCCTGCGGCGCCTGCGACCAGGACGACGACGGCGACGACGACGTAGACAACGACGACGGCGGCAATGATGCCATGCCACCACCCAAGGGAGAAGGAGATATTATATATATATATTTATATCTATAAGGTGTCGTTCTTCAGTAGTGTTGAGGAGAAGAGCAATGGTGGAAATTTTTGGACCATGATTGGAGGTAAGTTAGGTCATGATTGGAGGTCAGTTAGGTCATGATTGGAGGTCAGTTAGGTCATGATTGGAGGTCAATTAGGTCATGATTGGAGGTCAGTTAGGTCATGATTGGAGGTCAATTAGGTCATGATTGGAAGTCCGTTTGGTTATTACTCGGTTTATCCACTATTATATGGGCAATTTTCTAGTTAGGTAAAAAGTAGTTCTTATATTAAATCATAAGTAGGTTACTTTTTAAAGGTGGCTATGTTTTTGGGTACACAGTATTTGTTTGGTGTGTGTGTGTGTGTGTGTATGTGTGTGTGTGTGTGTATGTGTGTGTGTGTGTGTGTGTGTGTGTGTGTGTGTGTGTGTGTGTGTGTGTGTGTGTGTGTGTGTGTGTCTACACTCACCGATCGACCATTGACTCTCCAGGAGAGGTGTGTCGGGGGCTGGGAGGGACTAGATGTACAAGCCAAATCAACAGTGTCGTTGACGTGGTATTTGGCCTTTCCTCCTGTGATCACGGGGCCCGACGTTGGTGGCTCTGAAAGGTATGTCATACACTGTTATACAGAGAGAGAGAGAGAGAGAGAGAGAGAGAGAGAGAGAGAGAGAGAGAGAGAGAGAGAGAGAGAGAGAGAGAGAGAGAGAGAGAGAACTAGTCTCCTCTCAACACAACAAGATATACAATACCAAACACTATACACACAAGGTAATTAGACAATAATACAGGTTTAACGTGATATGACATCTAATATAACCCCTTAAGACAACCATCAGTGAGGGAGCGCGTGTTGTATATTGTATTCTGGCTGCATACTCTACATATACTGGGTGTATACTGCGTGTATATTGTGAGTATACGTGAATCTATGGCGCTATAGAGTGAGGAACTCACACAATGTTATTATGTGGTATAAAGAGCAAAATGATCCCATCGTTAATGCTAGTTAAGGGTGTAAGGGTCACACTAGGTGCATATCTAGATTTGGGTTATCTTAAGATAGTTTCGGGGCTTAGCATCCCCGCGGCCCGGTCCTCGACCAGGTCTCCTTTTTTGTTACACCCCCCCAGGAAGTAGCCCGTAGCAGCTGTCTAACTCCCAGGTACCTATTTACTACTCGGTGAATAGGGGCCATCAGGATGAAAGAAACTCTGCCCATTTGTTTCCGCCTCCGCCGGGGATTGAATCCGGAACCCTAGGACTACGAATACCGAGCGCTGTCCACTCAGCCGTCAGGCCCCCTACAGGTTCAGTTAAGTGCATTTTTAGTCACGCAGTTGCATCTGGCTTGTTCTAAATGAATGTAAACAAATGATATGTGGCGTGATTTGTCACGCCACATATCAGTCCACACATCATACATTATACATATACAACCATATGTAAATACAATCATAGCTAAATACAACCACATATAAATATAATCATAAATAAATACAACCATAAGTATCAAAAAATATATTAAATACAAACATGGAAATACAAGTATATGTAAATACATCCATATATAAATACAACCATGAATAAATTCAACAAATATTTGTATTTGTAGAAAAAATATGTTTTATTTGGCTCGGCAACAGGAGAGTAAACACATCAATACACAACGTGACAATTATCTACGTTAAAACACCGTTTTTCCAGGAGACTGGTGAGCTTAGCAAAACAAACACGGCTACATTAGTCGTGTTTGTGTGTTGTATAGACTACAGTATGCTGTATAGGGTTCCAGCAGAATATAGGAGGGATTTCATACAGTATGTTGCGTAGCATCTGTGATTTAATATACACACACTTATCCATCACCAGGAGACTGTTCTTGCTAGTAACTCAACTATACCCACTTACCCACCACCAGGAGACTGTCCTTGCTAGTAACTCAACTATACCCACTTACCCACCACCAGGAGACTGTCCTTGCTAGTAACTCAACTACACCCACTTACCCACCACCAGGAGACTGTCCTTGCTAGTTACTCAACTACACCCACTTACCCACCACCAGGAGACTGTCCTTGTTAGTAACTCAACTACACCCACTTACCCACCACCAGGAGACTGTCCTTGTTAGTAACTCAACTATACCCACTTACCCACCACCAGGAGACTGTCCTTGTTAGTAACTCAACTACACCCACTTACCCACCACCAGGAGACTGTCCTTGTTAGTAACTCAATTACACCCACTTACCCACCACCAGGAGACTGTCCTTACTAGTAACTCAACTACACCCACTTACCCACCACCAGGAGACTGCCCTTGCCAGTGACAGTGTTGAAATCTGGGCCCTCGGCCGACACTTCACATCTATACTGGCCCGACGTAGCGAACTCTACCCCCCTCAGCACCACTCTGCCAGGCTTCGATACTGTCTCCTGCACGGGCGATGGTGCGCCAGGCGGTGGGACGGGAGTCGGGCGATGGGACGGGAGCCGGGCGATGGGACGGGCACCATGTGGGAGAGAGTGTGGGCGCACAACGTGAATTTAGAATGATAATACATGAGGTGGGTGGAGTGGGTTATGACAGGTGGGTGGAGTGTCTTACAACAGGTGGGTGGAATGTCTTACAACAGGTGGGTGGAATGTCTTACAACAGGTGGGTGGAATGTCTTACAACAGGTGGGTGGAGTGTCTTACAACAGGTGGGTGGAGTGTCTTACAACAGGTGGGTGGAATGTCTTACAACAGGTGGGTGGAATGTCTTACAACAGGTGGGTGGAATGTCTTACAACAGGAGGGTGGAATGTCTTACAACAGGTGGGTGGAATGTCTTACAACAGGTGGGTGGAGTGTCTTACAACAGGAGGGTGGAGTGTCTTACAACAGGTGGGTGGAATGTCTTACAACAGGTGGGTGGAATGTCTTACAACAGGTGGGTGGAATGTCTTACAACAGGTGGGTGGAGTGTTTTACAACAGGCGGGTGGAATGTCTTACAACAGGAGGGTGGAATGTCTTACAACAGGTGGGTGCAGTGTCTTACAACAGGTGGGTGGAATGTCTTACAACAGGTGGGTGGAGTGTCTTACAACAGGTGGGTGGAGTGTCTTACAACAGGTGGGTGGAATGTCTT